ATTTTTTAAAAAAAACCTTTACTTTTGTTTACTTTTTTGAAGTAGAAATTAAGATAAATTTAATTATGATTGTTTCCTTGGGGAGCCATCTTGTTCTCTGAAAAGGGGACTTGGTTTATTCCTAGTTAATTCCCTGTGTGAGTCAAGGAAGACACATGCCTGTTTGAAGGTGAGATTTACATTTTTCAATAACATAGCCAACTCTTGACTTTTTCTTAACTTACAATAACTTCTTTAGAATTTAAAATATAAATCACATTTGGCATTTTCTCTCATTTCTTAACTATTTTCCCAGATATTCCTTAATTCAATGTAAAACTTTAAATTGCTAACAAAGTTGTAATCATCCAAAAGTTTTTCTTTAGAATGGGATTTAGTGGATAGGTGCTACCATTCTGTCAGAATACCTCGTAAGAATTTTTTTAATAAAGATCAGCCGTAGTGAAAGAATTGTACTGCGACTTCGTAGGCCTGTGGGTTCCAAATAGAAAACCCCCACTTTTCCAATGAATGGGATGACGGTGCCAGGTAGTGAAATGGTTGCCACGAGAACCGCTCATCCATCACTTTTTCCCCCTGTAAAAACTAGTACCTTGAAAATTGAAATGTGTAACTGAAAATCAGTGGTATCTCTCTTAAATAGAAGGTTGTATTAAGCTTGCCCAAAATGAGTGGAAATGAACACTTGCCAAAGACGTTTGATGTGATATGTGGTACATTATAGACTTTCTATGTGGCGGAGTCGTGTCGTATATACTTTTAAGTTATACAAAGTATACCTAAAGCTGGTACAAAGAAAAGAAAAAATATATAATTAAAATGGTGTGGGCATTCTGGCCTGCTGAAGTGTTCTCTGTATGGCATCAGTGCCCTACAGCCATGGATAAGGGTAAGACAGGAAACCTGATTTTCCTTCAGCGAATCTCCTTCCCGCATTCCTGCCCAGTGTGAGCACCTTGCTGGGCTGAGAGAGATTCTGGTGTTGAAACAGAAGCCATTTTTTGGGGGGGTCCAATGTATCCTTTAAGTGCAAGACAATCGCTGCATCTAGTGGTCACCTAAGGACACAGCGTCCATCCCCACCTGAGGGAAACGTGACTGTGGTGATGTAAAGTGAAGGAGGTTGCCACATTCCACACTGCACCTTCTTAAGCAGTTTTTGTTTTCATTCTAGTAATTTGGCTGAAAGCTTACACAGCCCATTGCTTTTCCATTCATCAGTGTGTACACGTCTTGCTTGGTGATTGTAGTTGCAA